AAAAAAAAAAAATCACGTTCTGAGGTCCTGGGAGTTAGGGCTTCAACATATGAATTTTATGGGAAAACAATTCAGCCCTCAACAAATATGTTTGCTGAGATTCTAATTTGGGTGCGGCACTATGCAAAACATAAGAATAGCATTGAAACAAAACAAAACCCTGCTCTCATGGAGCTGCCATTCTAAGCAGGGAAGGACAGACAACAGCTAACACATATACACAGAGAATATATTTGAAAGAACAAAATCAGGGTAAAGAAGAGAAGAGTGGTCAGGACAGGTCTGTCAGAGGAGGTGACATTTGAGCTGAGGCCCAAAGAAGGAGGAGCTGGCATAGGGGGTTCTCCAAACTTGGTCAGTTCCAGGGACAGCAAAGTGGTTTTATAGCAGGAGAGCAACAAGGTAGGTCACAGTGATTTTACTCCAAGGGGAAAACCACCATTAGAGGGTTTTAACAACCTGTTGATTTATGTTTAAATGATACATCAGATTTATGTCTACAGAGCTCATGGTTTCAGTTGAGAAGTGGATTAGAGGGGAGGGAGACCACAAAGATGAAGAAAAAACCTGGATTTTTGGGCCTATTTTATAGGTAGAGGTTGATGGACATGCTCATAGACAGATGTGGGGTGTGAGAGAATGGGAGACACAAAGATGCCCGGTTTTAGCCTAGTAGACGTGAGGACAGTGGGGCCATTTGCTGAGATGCAGAAGGATCAGGGTTGGGTGGAGAAGGAACTGACACGGGGATTTTGAGATTCATGGGGACATCAAGGATGTCAAGCAGGATACTCCATTCCCCCAATAGGGTAGACTCATTTCCAGCCTAAGGGCCTTAGCACTAGCTGTTCTCCTTCCCTCTGTGTAAGCAGTGGCCTCCCTCCCCTATCTTCACCTAGGCCCCTAGGTTCTAAGGAGTCTTTCTCAGTCTTCTGGCTTTGGCTCAAATCTCACCTCCTCAGTCACCTGTCCCTCCAACTAAAGCCACTAATTCCAACGCATCCCCACCCTAAATACTCTAATCATTCTATTTTATTGGGGGGGGGGTTTGGAGACAGAGTTCTCACTCTGTTGCTCAGGCTAGAGTACCCTGATGTCAGCCTAGCTTACAGCAACCTCAAACTCATGGATTCAAGCAATCCCCCTGGCTCAGCCTCCAAAGTAGCTGGGACTACAGGTGCCTGCCACCTGGCCTGGCTAATTTTTCTATTTTTAGTAGAAATGGGGGTCTTGCTCTTGCTAAAGCTGGTCTCAAATTTCTGAGCTCAAGCAATCTTCCTATCACGTGTGGCGTCCCAGAGTGCTAGGACAGGTGTGAGCCACCATGCCGGGCCAAGGACCTTTAACAATCCTGTTTAAATTCTGACTAGCATTTACCACTGTTGTTATTCTGTCTTCCCAATCAGACTGTGAGTTCGATGAGGGTAGAGTCCATGTCTTTATTTTGTTCATTGCTAAATCCTCAGTGCCTAGCAGGGCTAAATATAAAGACTCCATAAGTTGCAGACAGAGTGAAAATGTCCCCACTGGACCCTGTGCACTGTTAGGAGGAGGTGTCTGAGATACAGACATCACCAAGGGTCTCAGTCTTGCTAGGAAGAAAACATGTCAGCCCTGGATCTCAGAAGAGTCCCCTGGCGTAGGGAAGGCTTCCCAGAGAAGGTGGCATCTGCAGGGGGAAAGTACAGAGGGTTATGCAACATGCGGAAGCTCTGGAGACTTCTGAGGGCACGAGCAGGGTTCACTGAGTACACAAGAGCTCAGAGAGATTGGATTGTCTGACTCTGCTTGGAGATCTAAATCCTGTCCAAGGGCAACGCCCAAGAATCATTCTCCAGTCCTGAGGGGACAGAAATAAATGGGCAAGTGCAGCGCAAGGCGGTGATTCTCTAATAGATGGCATTAAAATAGGAATTTTTGGCTCGGCGCCTGTAGCTCAGGGTTTAGGGTGCCGGGCACATACACAGGAGCTGGCGGGTTCGACCGAAGCCCGAGCCAGGTGAACAACAATGACAACTGCAACGAAAAAATAGACGGACGTTGTGGCGAGCGCCTGTAGTCCCAGCTACTTGGGAGGCTGAGGCAAGAGAATCGCTTAAGCCCAAGAGTTGGAGGTTGCTGTGAGCTGTGACGTCACAGCACTCAACCAGGGGCGACACAGTGAGAGTCTGTCTCAAAAAAAGAAAAAAGGAAATAAAAAGGAATCTTTATTAGTGTGAAGCTGAGAAAACGCGAAAATGACTAACGCGAAAGGGACTAGCGGCTCTTCACGGCTTCCGTATTACAGACACACGCGAGAGATGGCCGGCACTTGAGCTACCAGCGCTAAAGACGGTCATGTGACTAAGCAATTTCCGGGGACTTTCTCCTAGGTTTTCCCTGGACGCCAACAGAGGCGTGCGTGCCAGGGCTTAACACGTTTCGAGGCCGCCGTAAGTCCGGCTTAGGGTGGCTTTGACTTGAGAGCCAGCCCCAGGGACATGGAGGGTTCCCCGGAGGGGGAAGCACCCGCGGCGGCCCTGGCCGCAGTGCTAAAGCACAGCTCGGCGCTGCCACCCGAGAGCGCCCAAGTCCGGGGTTACGACTTCAACCGCGGTGTGGATTACCGTGCACTGCTGGAAGCCTTCGGCACCACTGGCTTCCAAGCAACCAATTTCGGGCGCGCGGTGCAGCAAGTCAACGCCATGGTGAGGCCTGTGGCAGAACTTCCTAGGGCGGAGTTTCTAGTAGAACAAGCAGTATTTGGAGCGGGTGTGGACTCCTGTGGGACAGCGGAGGCTTGCTTTGTGAAGGCGACCCCATAGCCGAAGAGAGGCGGGGCCTATCGGACCGTGAGGGGTAGGGGCCTCATTCTAGTCAAGGAGCGGGTTCTAGGAAAATTTATTTATTTTTTATTAAATCATAGCTGTGTACATTAATGCGTTTATGGGGTACAATGTGCTGGGTTTATATACAATTTGAAATATTTACAACAAACTGGTTAACATAGCCTTCACCGCACTTTATTATTGTGTTAAGACATTTATATTGTACACTTAATAGGTTTGACATGTACCCTTGTAAAATACACCGTAGGCGTGGTCCCACCAATTACTCTCCCTCCACCCATTCTCCCCCTCCCTTCCCCTCCCCTCCTCTACCCCCTTCATCTTGGGCTGTAGTTGGGTTATAGCTTTTTTTTTTTTTTTTTGAGATAGAGCCTCAAGCTGTCCCCCTGGGTAGAGTGCTGTGGCATCACAACTCACAGTAACCTCCAACTCCTGGGCTCAAGCGAGTCTCCTGCCTCAGCCTCCCAAGTAGCTGGGACCACAGGCGCCTGCCACAACGCCCGGCTATTTTTTGG